TACTTAACCATTTTAGTACACTTTTAATGAGGCTTCACAGTCAACAGAATAGCATTGTGAGGTTAAAAGTGTGGGTGGGTTCAGTGCTATGAATGCACTAAACTCATATGTGCATGTTCTTGGAACAAGCACGACTGTCTCAAGGACACAGTACATTTGTTTTCCGGAACTACCAGTTCTTTTACCCTTTCTCTTTGGTTTTAATCTCCCTAGAACAGAGGTTCTCAAACTGTGGTCCGTGGGCCACCAGTGGTCCGCGAGCTCCATTCAGGTGGTCCACAGATAGTTCCCTCTAAGGTGCGTACCTGGGCAGCCGCACACGAGAGAATGAAGGGCCACCCACCTAATTAGTGGAGCCACACAGGTGTGGCTCCACTAATTAGGTGCCTGGACCTTGGAGAAGACACACATGTAAGGTGAGGTGGTAGCCTTGGAGGGAATAGGGAGTAGGTTGAAGGGGGCAGTGTGGATAAGAAGAGGGGGTGGGGAGAATTTGGGACATGCAGGGATGCAGTGGCCAGAGAAAGAGGCGACTTTCCCCAGCTCCAGGGCTCCGGCTGCTGGGGAGAGACAGCCCTCCTTCCCAGCCCAGCTCGGCGGCTGCCATGGCAGGGGAGAGAGGGAGAGACTCCCCCCTCCTTCCCAGCCCCAGTTTTGGGGCTGCTGTGGTGGGGGAGAGAGGGCACATCCATTGAATTAGAAAGGTAAGACTACTGATATTAAAATATGAGTGGTGTGCTTTTTTTGTAGAACAAAAAAATGTTTATTATTAAGGGGTTTTTTTATATAGCGCTTTTATCCAAAGCACATTACAATAGTTAGCTAACGGTACAAACAACATTTGGAAAGATCATTAAGTGGTCGACCGAGACCCTCAGCAATTTTCAAGTGGTCTGTGGAAAAAAAAGTTTGAGAACCACTGCCCTAGAATAATGATCTGCACACACCATCTAGTGGTGCCAGGGAGGATTATACTTTACAATAGTGATAATTGTCATGGTTTACGGAAAGGCAGCCATTCCAGAAAAAACGTGAAGGTCAATTCCTTCTCTGGAAAAAGAGATCTATTTTACAAAGTGCTAAATAGGTGGCTATGAGCCAGATTCTCAGCTGGCATAAACTGGCATTGCTCCATTGATAGCAATGGAGCTCCAGTAGTTCATGCTAGCTAAAAATCCAGGCCAGTAACTGTTGATCTTTGCAAGGGGGTGGATGAACACTGCTTAGGGCCCAGCTGGCAGATGGTAAAACCCAGCCAAAGGAATCAGATACCCCTGTAGAAATTGCTCTGAGATGTAAAGGAAAAGTCGTGTGAAGCTCAGACAATCTCCAAAAACAGGAGCAAAGCTACCTGGACAAAAGGATGTAATTGTATTTAGTAGATATTCTTCAATAAACAGTTTCAGAATCAGAGTTCCAAATACCATAATATGGGTCTGGAAATCTGGGCTGCCGTCATCAAAAATGGAGTTTCCAGTTCCAAAATCTAGGTTGCCACAACCAGGTCCTGAATGCAGAATTCTGAATGCCGAGTTTTCAAAGCAGAGTTCCAAAATACAAAATTTGAGATGTGAAAGGCAGAGCTCACGGTTGTGAACACTAGGTTCTGTAAACCAAAATCTAGCTTCCTAGTTCTAGAAAGCAGGCTGAATTTGCTAAGTCACATAAAATGAGCTGTAATAACTGGATCCCCAGTCCCAAAAGCAAATCCTGAAAAACAAGTCCCAAAAATCAAATATGAGATTAGAAAATCAGGATATCTGTAACCCAAAATCGAAGATCCAAAACCTGGCTTCTGAGTTTTGATAGCACCTACCCAGATCTTCAATGGTATTTAGATATGTGACTCCCATTGAAAGCAATGGACGTTAGGAACCTAAATACCTCTGAGAATCTGAGCCATAGTTATGACGGCAGAAAAACTAATTGTGAAAACTAGTTTGAGGGCCAAATTCCAAATGGCAAGATTCAAAAGCAAACGTTCTCAAACCTGGGTTATGAATCTTGAAATGGGAAAATAGTGCTGCATGGTCTGATTTTTTTTTTTTTAAAAGGTGTAAAAATTGAGTTGAATCCCAAACACAAAATCTTATGTTCCAAAATCTAGGTGCTGGGTTGCCAAAGCCGACTGCCAAGAACCAAAATCCATGTTCTTCAGGAATAGTTCTGAAATCTGAGCTCCATATTCTAGTCTCCAAAGCCAAATTCCAAATCTCAAAACCAAGTTCCAAGTCTCAAGTTTGGAAATCTAGGTTCTGCATCCTGACAACTGAGTTTTTAAATCTGGGCTCTGAGAACTGGGTCCCAAGTTCAGAAAACAGAGTCCTGGATTGTGAAATCCAGGATGCAACAAACCAAGACCTAATAAGCCCTGAGCTGATGACCCACAATCCAAATTCTGAGTTTGGCCAGTAGAGTTCCAAGAACCTGTTTCAGGGAATTTGTTTCCAAAGTCAGGGTTTCTTGCATTACATTATCAGTTGTAGTCAGAACATTTACTGAAGCTTACACGGTAATGCTTGTCACCTTCATGTGTGGGATAGACTTCCTGATCATGTTGACAACCTATTTCAACACCCTTGACAGTATCTTGTGCACAAAATACAGAGGATAAATCAAGAATAGGTCTTGATAGGTTTATTGAGAGGAAGTCTATGTAGCACTGGTTTTTCCTTCAGAAAGCTCAAGCAGCCAAAGCCTGTCAGTTAAAAAGCATACTCAACCTGAGGGGCGAGAGCTGAGTCAACTTAGGTGTGGTGTCTCTCCTTTGGCTGTAACATCAGCAGGAACTCACCATTCTGACAGTTCCTGCTCCCTCCTGTCTCTCTAATGAGGCTCCCTCCCACTCCACAATGGGTACTAAACGAGGCTTCTGTCCCAATAGGCTGGTATCTTTGCTTTGCCAGCCCATCTCCTCCCTACACAAGTAGGCTCCCTAAAAATTCATACCTGTTGTACTTGTACGAAGTGAATTGAAAATTATTTCTTTTATTTATCATTTTTACAGCACACATATTTGTAATAAAAATAATAATATAAAGTGAGCACTGTATACTTTGTATTCTGTGTTGTAATTGAAATCAATATATTTGAAAATGTAAAAAACATCCAAAAATATTTAAATAAATGGTATTGTTTAAGAGCGCGATTAATTTTTTTAATCGCTTCACAGACCTAGTAAATACACATTCCTTTGTCTAGGACAGGCTGAACACATTTTAAAAACATATTTCCAGCACACATCTATAACTGTTTGTACTCCATACATACATACATCACACAATGATTTTGGGGATCAGTGTGTCACCAGTTTATCTATGATACTTTACATGATGCCTTTGAGATACATATTATGTAGGGTGACCAGATGAGAGGAAGAAAATATTGGGACACTGGGGGAAGCGGGGGTCCGCCAGCAGAGAAAAAGAAAAAAAAGCCGAGTGCTACCACCAGCGGAGCAAAAAAAACCGATTGCTGCTGGAAATATCGGGACAAACACCTAAAAATCGGGATGTCTGGTCACCCTAATATTATGAGAACAGTGTGTTGTGGCAATGAGTGTATCAGGCCTGATGGGAGTTACAAATCTCCAAGTTCAACGTGGCACAGTAGGAGGAGGGGGGGGGGTTCCGCAGGGGGAAGTAACACCATTTGGGACTTGCTGCTCTCTTCAATCCAATACTGTCCCTTAGTGGCCTCCCCAAGCACAAAGAAATTGACCAGTCCCAGTAGGTCAACAATAATAACACCACAGCACTTATAGTAGATGTGTGACACTCTGGTGTCTTGGTAAGACACTGGGACTTCATTTTCTGGCCTCAGTCACTTGTTCTGGGTCGATTACAAAGATTAATTCCCCTGTCATAAGTAGGGTCAGTACTCGCTGTCGCCAATGATGTAAAATTCAACTCGTTGAGCTGCAGCCTTCAGCTCACTGACTACACGGAATGTGTGGGTGTATATGCACGTCTGAGTGGAAGATGCCTTTTTGATCTCTGAGCTACCTCCCACATACTTGTATCTACTGCTCAATCCTCTATATAAGAGTTAAGTAGTCGTAGAATTAAAGGATGCTTCCTGTAGGCTTGGCCAATATTTACATGTGGTGTTTCCAAACCATTAATAAAAGTTGAGCACCATTAAGCCACAGGAGTGCTTTGTGGCAGGGCAACGGATGCAATCAGAGGTGCAACTGCAGTATGTGTGGCCCTACCATAGAGAGTTTTACTCTAACTAGCTCAAGTAACAATAGTAGCCAAGCCACAGCAACACGCGGGCTAGCCACCCAAGTGCGTTCTTGCACTCGCTGGTAGGCTTGTACTTGAGCAGCTAACCCAGGCTGCAGCCCACGCTGCCACAGCTTTGCTGCTCTTGGTACCTGGGCTAACTAGATCAAAGCTGGTTTGGGTATCTCTACACAGTCCTCAGTCACAGCTCCGATTGCAATGTAGATTTGCCCAAAGTCTCAACAACACTTTTTCTTGTACATAACTATTCCCCCCCGCAGGAAATTTAATAAAGACAGCTGGTCAAACAGGCCTGTATACGAATATATCATGTTTATGTAAACCTAGGCCTCTGCATTCCTGAACAATAGTCTATTCTCTAGTTGGCTAAACCAGCCTGTTTTTTTCCTTATAGTCACTTTGTTCCACGTTCACCCTGCCAGAGTATGTCCCACAGCGATAGTTGGCAGAACAAATAAGGAAATGAGCCAAATTCACCCTTAATGTAACTGTCTTAACATCAATGGACTTATACCAGGGCTGAATTTGGCTCAGTACCCAAATACAGCAATTAGAGTAGTCAGTAATATTTGTGTTAGATACAGCCTGTTGTTTTTCATTACTGTTATTTAAGAAGATACAGCAACTAGCAGAGTGGAACAGAGCAGTCTTACAACAGTACACCCCGAGATCATAATGAGAAAACAAGAAGCAAGCAGGGAATGTATCCTGTTGGTTGGAGGAGTGCCAGTACTAGAACAGGCAGGGTCACAGTAGGTCATGTGTGTACAAAGCAGCAATAAGGGAAGCTGTTTAGTCATAGCTGTGTCTTTGAGGGTCCTAAGCAGAAGGGTGAGGAGCAGAATACAGTGATTCAGGAAACAGGCTCTCGAAGAAGCTTGTTTCCCAGCTGCCGGGACGTCACGGGAAAGACAAGAAACTCACAGCATGTTTTTATCAGGTGGGTTTCATTCTTGAGGAGATACATGGCTTGATTCTCCTCTCATGCTGGGGAAAAATCAGGAGTAACTCTGGGCATCAGCGGAGCTCTCCCAGTGTATAATTGGGATAGAGAGGGCAATCAGGCCCTACACTCCTAATTAATACAGTGGGCTTAATTGTGGCTGTTAACACCCCAGCACTGGGAAGTGTGGCTTTGTGTGGGGAAGGCTGCGCACCGCACCAAGGCAGGCTCCAAAGGCATTCTGCAGGCTTCAGTCCTGAGGCAGGAACAGTGGCTCTGAGATCATGAACAGCTCAGTAGCAACTGTGATATTCTTTGAAAGGGTGCAACGTTTGTTCCTCGCTGTGCAACTGTGTTAGGTCAGACATCTGGGGTGAAATCCCAGCCCCAACACAGTCAATAGGATTTCTGCCACTGACTTCAGTGGGGCCCGGAGTTCACACCTCTAGTGTGGAAAGGGGGCGCCCAAACCTTTTAGGGAGCCTAGAGTTGCTAGTGCTACCATTATATAACTTTCTTCTACTCTGCCTCTCCCCCCGGATCCTTTGTACTGAGATACAAGACCACCCTTATTTTAAGACTTTGTCCCACATTTGTAAGATCTCTGGGGCCTACTGCCCTGTGTTTGTAGAATGCCTAGCACAATAGAGCCCTGATCTTGGGTGGCCCTTAGGCACTACCATAATAAACGTGATTAATGATGATTTGAGTAGTGGTAGGCTGAGAAGTAATGTGCAGTTCACATCTGGGAACCCCAATCTATACGGCTGTTTTTGAATTTTGCTTGTAGAAAACCACTGTTAGCAAGCTCTAATGAATGGCTTTCCCCTTTCTCCCGCTCCAGGGGTCTGGATTTTAGCTGTTTCCGTCACTGTGGCAGTACAGGAAAAAACCCCTCTTGCTCCATGTCTCCCAGGACCCCAAGGTCCTCCTGGGAACAATGGAGTTCCTGGTCATAATGGGTTCAATGGGGAGAAAGGGGAGAAGGGACTCAGAGGGGAACCAGGTAAGTCACATTTAAGTGAATCATTTCACGCTATACCAACTTTTGATAGCACCATTTCACCAGTTTCTTATTCAGAATTCAGTACATTGCATATTTGGAACAACCAGAAACACTTCATAGGAACAGTTACTTAGTGATAGAATTATGATCCTAAGATCAGAGATTTGCCCTTTCTGAAGGTAGGAATATGGTATGTATATATATTAGACACCAGATGTACAGCCGAGAAATGCAGTAAGAGACATTTGGATAACAACAGCTAGGAATGGTTTCATCATGGAGAGGCCTTGCAGTGAAATACAGAATCCTGAACTGGGTTTTTGGCAAGTAAAAAAAAAGAACTTACCTCTCAATCCACCTTAATGGCCTCCCAAGGGAGTGAAAATGTTTGACACACTCTCCTGGTGGTTTATTCCTAATGCTCTGGGTTAGTCTTAGTGTTTAGGCTCATGAAGCATTCTCAGGCGGTGGTGGTGGGGGCGTTGGGTGCCCACACATACATGTTTCAGGCAGTTCTGAGGAGATAAGGGGTTATATTAAGGATGGAACCAGGGTATTGCTGTCCTTCAGTGTTTCCCCCCTTTTGCAATGCTGTAGGAGCTTTAAAGGGGCACAAGACAGGGAGTAAAACTGGTTGGGGGGGAAATTTCCCCTGTGAAATTTTTCTTCAAAGTTTACAATTCCCCCCCCCCCCCCCCCCGCAAAAAATAAATAATTTGTTTTGTTGTTGAAAGTTTGTTTTGTCAAAAAAAAATATATTGAGGGAGAAAAAAAATTGATAATTTTTTGACCAGCTCTATTAGGGAAGCTCTTGAGCTAATTTAAACTGCTCAGGGGGGCAATCCAGCCCCCAGCAGCTCCAGCATAGGGGCTGTGCAAATCACCTCCCCTCTGACCCTGCCTTACATCCAGCACTGGATGAATTCCACTCTTTTAGGATAAATGATCGCCTCCTTGCTCTGAGACACCAGAGAGAGGACAATATCCACCCACAGAAGTGTTAAAGACAGAGCTCTACTCACTCTTCATCCACATACACTCCTGTATACATACATCCCAACTGAAAATGCTTCATGAGCCTAAACACTTAGCCACACACCAGAGCATTAGGAATAAACCACAAGGAGTGTGTGTCAGTCAAACATTTTCACTCCCGAGGACAATAATTAAGAGTAGAGTGTTTTCTCTAGAGTTAAAGCTGAGGTGTTTTACTTTGAACAGAGTTTATGGGTATGATAGGAGTATTTCTCTTACTTTAGGGAGTTTGCAATGCTTTAAACTGTAGTTTATCCCACCCTGGTGGGCAGTGTCTCTAACTGACCCACTGCAGGCATTGTCAACAAAGAAGTTTTTGGGGATTTTAAATGAGTCACATTTGAGCAGGATGAGAACAGATGGAAAAGTATCTGCTTCTAGCTCATTCTTTTGTAATCCTTTTCAGGTTCCACAGGAATGCGTGGGCCACAGGGCCCTCCAGGAAAACTAGGTCCAATGGGACCAAAGGGCGAAAGTGGACAACCAGGTCCCACCGGCCCACAAGGAAGCCTGGGAGAATGCTCACCACGTCAGAAATCTGCCTTTGCCATGAAACTCGCCAAAAACTATCCAGCTCCTAAACAACCCATTATATTTCATCAAATTTTATACAATGATCAGCAACATTTTGATAAGGCCACAGGAATTTTCACTTGCCAAATACCCGGAGTTTATTACTTTGGCTACAATGTGGAGTTGTACCGGAACACCACGTCCATTCTTCTAATGAAAAACAGCCAGGCAGTGATAGGATCATATCAGACCACCCTAAACTCTTATGAAAATATGTCAGGAAGTACAGTCCTTAAGCTGGAGAAGGGTGACAGGGTCTGGTTAGAAGTGAACCAGGAAAGTAATGGAGCGACACACACAAGCTACTTTTTGGGTTACCTGATATTTGAAATTTAGATTTCTGCAGAACTTCTGAATTAGCTTCACCATTGTGTCAGAATTTAAGAGATGAGGAAAGTATACCCAGGGGTGGGGTAGGGTAAGGGGGGGAGGAGGTTTTGTCAGGGTCTGATACTATATTATAGCAGCATCTGTTATTATGGTAGCACCGCCTACTATTATGGTTGCCCTACACTTCCCATTATAAGACACAGTTTTCCGTTGTTTATAACTTTCCCAAACTTTAATGGTTTGGGCTGAAAATTTCCATGCCAGGTGCCTGACTCTCGTTCAATGTTTTTGGAAAATGTCAGCCAAAACACTTTAGCCGATTCTGAGAATGAGTATAAGGGAAAATACATTTTGCCCGTGTTAAAAAAAACTCTGGTGACTTTTTCTTTGAGAATCTCTCATGCCTCCATACTTTGGAGCAAGGTCTTGATATTTGGCAAGAGAGTGGCCTTTGTTTCAGGGATGTTCCTGTTGGCATCCCTTTGAAAATCTGCTCAAATTTAGCCACGTTATAAGGCTTTGAAAATTTGCAGTTCACACATGCTCAGTAGACACTTCCTAGAACTCCACAGCTAAACTCCCAAAAGATTCCATCTGTGACGTTGCACTCCATATGCTTTACAAAAGTATGTTTATAAGTGTGAATATGATGTAACTGAAATATGCTTTATGCAAAAGGTCTCTTGTAAGGTATAATTACAGAGCTTATAATCTACTGAGTGTGTTCATTCCATTTGTATGAATGTATCATTCTTGTATCTGAAACTAGGAATATGAAGTATAACTCTGAGATTTTATTGTAATTATGCAAAGTGTGGGCCACTAATGGTGGTTTAGAATCTTGATGGCTCCCATTGACTAGGACGATTGGTTGTAAACGGTTTATTTACCTGCAAGCCTTCCGGGATACGTGCGGACCAGCCCTGGAAGAATGGAGGGGGTCTCACAGGACATGTGAACGTGTCACCTGATAGTGGAATCCATCTTAAACCCGGTGCTTTTCCATTTAGAAGGAGGGGTGGGAACCCAGAGAGACAAAATATTCCCGCCTTGTGCCAAAGATATAAAAGGTGGTGGAAGAGAACAAAGAGGCTCCCAGTCATGAGAAAGCCCTTGCCTTTCACCTAAGATTCCTGATGGAACTAACAAGGACTGTACCAGGGAAAGGATTGGGCCCAGACTAGGAAGGAGTCTAGTCTGTGAAAGAAGCTTATTGGAACATCTCTAAGGGTGAGATTTACCTGTAATCAGTTTCTTAATGTATTAGGCTTAGACTTGTGTGTTTTTGCTTTATTTTGCTTGATGACTTACTTTGTTCTGTCTCTTATTACTTTGAACCTTAAAGCCTCTTAAATCTTACATTTTATACTTAATAAAATCACTTTTGTTTATTAGTAAACCCAGAGTAAGTGATTAATATCTGGGGGAGCAAACAGCTGTGCATCTATCTCTATCAGTGTTATAGAGGGCAGACAATTTATGAGTTTACCCTGTATAAGCTTTATACAGAGTAAAACGAATTTATTTGGGTTTTGGATCCCATTGGGAGCTGGGTGTCTGGGTGCTGGAGATAGGTAATCTGCTGAGTGGTTTTCAGTTAAAACCTGCAGCTTTGGGGGCGTGGTTCAGACCCTGGGTCGGTGTTGGAGCAGGCTTGTGTGTCTGGCTCAACAAGGCAGGGTTCTGGAGTCCCAAGCTGGCAGGGAAAACGGGCTCAGAGGTAATCTCAGCACGTCAGGTGACAGTCCCAAGGGGGTCTCTGTGACCGAACCCATCACACCATCCACACTGAGCAAGACTTTTCTCACAATTGCAGTTCCCAGCTGCTTTGGACTGGATACCTGAAATTGACAGCAGGCACCCTGTTCCTCTCCTGATCTCTCAATGCCACCTCATTGACATCCAAGCAATGTGGAGGAGGAAGCTGACTGACATGAAGGCAGAGGGGACAAGAGCTGGAATTGGGGATTGAGACAGAGGAAAGTAGATTTGGGCAAGGAACATGAGGGAAAGTCTGGGACTGGAGGCTAGCACGGGGGAGGGAGGGCAAGAGGGAAACTGGGACTGGGTGTTGTGAGGGAGACTGGGAACCGGGAAAGAAATGGGAGGGGGGGAAACCAAGAGCAGATGAGGACCACAAAGGGGGACATTGGGAGTGGGAACCAGTAAGGCAGGGAAAGGATCTGGGAGGGAGACATATCTGATGAAAAGCAAAGGTAGGGGAGGAGAACGGGGACTGACTGAGCAAAGATATTGGGAAGAGGAGCTGGTCCCAATGAGATTGAATGAAGAGCTCTGGGAGGGAGACTGGGAGTCAGTGAGGATGGGGAACATGGGCATGGGGGGGTTTACTGTAAACTGTAGGAGTGTGGAGAGAGAGATTGGATGAGAAGCTAGGAGGATGAGATTGGGTCTGGCTGGGCGAGAAGGCTGGGGACAAAGAGCCAGATAATGTGAGAAACCCTAGGGTTAGGGTACCTATGGCTAGGGCTCCCCACCTTAGTATTAGGGTATGTACAGTTAGGGGACTTAGGGCTAGGCATAGGGTTAATATGGGTGGGGCTCCCTGGGGCCAGGGCTAGGATTCCTACGGGTAGGGTACCTGCAGCTGGGGTCAGCATTTCTATTGTTAGGGCTTCCTGACCTATGGTTAGGGTAGGTAGGATACTTGAGCTATGGTAAGAGTTCCTATGCATACAGTTCTTAGAGCTAGGCTTAGGGATTCTACAGGTAGAGCTCCCCATTGTAAGGTCAGAGTACATATAAGTAGGGTACTTGGAGCTAGCATGAGGGTACCTATGGATAGGGCACTTGGAGCAAGGGTCAGGGTACCTATGGATAGGGCTCCCCAAACTACGGGTAGGGTTCCTATGGGTAGGGTACTTGGAGCTCGGTTTCGAGTTCCTATCCTGAGGGCTTCCCACTCTAAGGTTAGGGTAACTATAGGTATAAATAGGAGTTGGGGCTAGGGTTAGAGTTCCTGCCAGTAGGGCTTCCTACCCTAGGGTTAGGGTAACTATGAGAAGGGGTCCCCAACCCAGAGTAAGGGTTACAATGGGTAGGGTAGCTGGGGGTATGCTTAGAGTTAGGGTTCCTATGAGTAGGGCTCCCCACACTAGGGTTAGGGTTTCTATGGGTAGGGGATGTGGGGCAAGGATTAGGGTTCCTATAATTAAGCCTTCCAGCCCTAGAGTTAAGGTTCCTATGGGTAACTGAGTTTAGGCTAAGGTTAGGGTTCCTACAGATAGGGAACTTGTGGGTAGGTTTACAGTTCCTATGTGTAGGGCTCCCTGCCCTATGGTTAGGATATGTGCTGGTAGGACCCCCCCAACCCTAGTGTTACCATTTCCATGGGTAGGGCTCCTAGCCCTAGGGTTTCGATTCCTATGGGTAGGGGACTTGGGGCTAGGGTTGCATTGGGTAGGGGATCCAGATGAGAATTAGGGTTACAATGGGTAGAGTTCTCTGCACTAGGGTAAGCCTTCTTATGGGTAGGGGAGTTGGAGCTAGATATAGGTTTGCTATGGGTAGGGCTCACCACCCTAGAATTAGGATTGCTATGGGTAGGGGTGTGCAGACTAGAATTAGGGTTGGTAAGGGTAGGGCTCTCTGCGCTAGGGTTAGGGTTCTGATGAGTAGAGGCTCCCAGACTAGAATTAGGGTTTCTATGGATAGGGACTCCCAGACTATAATTAAGGTTCCCATGGATAGGGACTCCCAGCCCAAGGTTTAGGGTTGCTATGGTAACAGCTCCCCACACTAAGGTCAGGGTTAGAAGAGGTAAGGGAGTTGGAGCTATGGTTATAGTTGCTACGTGTACAGGAGTTGGGGAAAGAGTTAGGGATCCTATGTGTAGGGCTCCCAACCCTAAGATTAGGGTTCCTATGGGTAGGACTCCCCACTCTAGGGTTAGAGTTCCTATGGGCAGACAGTTGGGGCTAGGGTTACAGTTCCTACAGGTAGGTCTCCCCACCTTAGGGTTAAAGTTCCTACGTGGGTAGGAGAGTTGGGGCTAAGGTTAGGATTCCCACAAGTAGGACTCACTGCCCTAGGGTTAGGGTTTCAACGGATAGGGCTCCCAGCCATAGGGTTAGGGTTCTTATGAGTAGGGGAGGTGGGTCTAGGGTAACTGTGGGTAAGGGCATTGGGGTTAGGGTTCCTACGGTTAAGGGAGGTGGAGCTACGGTTAGGTTTCATATGGCTAGGCGAGTTGGGGCTAGAATTAGGGTTGCTACAGGTATGGCTCCCTGCCCTAAGGTTAGGGTTCCTACGGATAGGGCTACCCATGCTAGGGTTAGAGTTCTTAGGGGTAGGGCTCCCCACCCTGGGGTTAGGGTTCCTAAAGGTAGGGGAGTTGGGGCTAGGGTTAGGGTTTCTACATGTAGGGGATTTGAGGCTAGGCTAAGCATTCCCATGGGTGGGGGAATGGGGGCTAGAGATAGAGTTCCCACAGGTAGGAAAGTTAGGCTAGGTTTAGGGTTCCTATCGGTAGGAGAGCTGGGGCTAGAATTAGAGTTCCTAAGGAGAGGGATCCCCACCCTAGAGTTAGGGGAATTGGGGCTGCATATAGGGTTCCGTAGAGCTCCCCACTCTAGGGTTAGAGTTTCTACGCATAGAGATCATTGCCCTGCGGTTAGGGTTCCTATGCATAGGGCTCATCACCCTAGGGTTAGGCTTCCTATGGGTAGGGAGTTGGCACTAGGGTTAGAGTTCCTACGGGTAGGGCTCTCTGCCATGGGGTTAGAGTTACAAAGATTTGGCTCCCTGCCCTACCGTTACAGTTCCTAAGACTAGGGAGCCAAACCTTAGAATTAGGCTTCCTACAGGTAGGAAAGTTGAGTCAGGGCCTATTATTCCTACAGTAGCAGAGATTGGGCTAGAGTTCTGATAGGTGGAGCTCCCCACCCTAGAGTTATGGTTCTGACAGATAGGCATCCTCACCCTAGGGTTAGGATTCCCAGGGATAGGGGAGTTGGGGCTAGTGTTAGGGTTCCGACTGGTAGAGCTCCCCTTCCTAAGGTTCTGGTTCCTCTGGGTAGGGGAGTTCAGACTAGCATTAGGGTTCCTTGG